CCCCAAAACCCCAAAACCCCAAAACCCCTTTGATATTCAGAATATTGATGGCTCTAAAATCCCTTATTTCTGGTACTTATACTTTCGGTTGACAAACCGAATGCAGTATTAGGTGCCAACGCTAAAAATAATTACGTGATCTCACTTTTGTTCATTGACTCAACGGAATCATTAAGCTTCATTCTGATCAATGGAGCGTTTTTGAGAGCACTAAGATCTAGAAGAATTAAGTTTAACCATTGCTAACACAACTTCGATGGTTTGAACAGGCCAGAATTTAGAATAAATCACGAAACATCGCAAGAAAGACTAGTAAAATTTACCTCTTCGTTGCCTTTGTTCTTGACTCGTAGCATTCCTAGCCCTATTACGAAGATTCAGTTTCCTTAATGTCAATATAGATTTGTTAATAAAAGCTGGATTTATCTTGCGTAAGCTTTCAAGAACACTAGCTCGAGCAGTGATAATCTTCGAATTCCTATATCTAAGTTGATTACCTTACTTCCCATTCCTCGTCCCAAGACTACTAGTTGGATTAGTCCTAGAAGCACGTGCTTTCTTTTTAGTCTTCACAAAGATCTCTCTGACTTCCTGTGTATCAATGATACTTTTGGCTATATACTTAATTTTTATCAATACGGAATGGACTAAGAGAGGCATCTACTGTGTCTTTTCTATCTAGGGCAATAAAATGACTATATTTACTGTTCCAAATATCCTCTTTGACTCCTTCAACTATTGCTTTGATCTCTCTTCTTTCTTTATATCTCTTCCTTTTCCAGTGCTCGAAGTCAAGCTGAAGTTCCTCTACATATAAGATATCCCAGAGAGAAAAATAGACTAATCCTCCAAGCTGGAGATGTGAGTTTACCTAAGGCTGTATTGACTGCTTCTATCATGATCTTTAACTTATCAGTTGCATTTTTAGACATTGTGATGCCTATGGCTTAGAAGGAGGATTACAAGTCTCTTCAGATTGGACAATACTAGCCGAAATCTGTGCTATGAGCTCATCTTGAGTCTTATCCTCCAGAAGGATCTCCTGAGGAGATCCTTCTGAAGATCTGACGCAGTGAGACATAAAAGCTGATTTGAGCAGGTTAGGGTATTTCTGAATTTTTGTACTGAGTCTGTCATCACATTCGATCTTGCGTGCAACATTGGAGATGATGAGCTTAGCTTTTCTGTACTGATGATTTAGTGTTTCAATTTTAGAGTTGATTAAAGCTATTTGGTCAACACAGTTTGTCAGAGTTGATTTTATGAGAAAGTCTTGGGAAGTTCAATTTTTGTCAAAGATACTTTGTGCGTTTGACTGAAATGAGATGTTTTGACTGAGAGAGATATCTTCATTACTAAGGTTGGCCCTTTGAGGTGTCGGATGAGCTACTCTTTTGCTGTGAAATTTTGTTGAAGTGTCTTTTTGAGGATGAGATATTTTTGAAACTTCTATTTCTGCTTCACCAGTCATAGAATTGAATTTGGAAAGAACACTTTGTGAGCTTTCCTCATCAATATTTTCTCCTTTTCTTAGCGAGGATGCTTCAAAATCATCTTTATATAGCTGTTCTTGGTCACTATCTTGATCATTCTCACTTCCAGAGTCAAATAAGAAGTTATTTTTTAGCATATTCCATGCTTCTACACAAGATTACCAATCTCTGTACCTCTCAATATGCATATTGATTTCCTTCCTAATGAGCTCTTTCAGTTCCTTGAAATTTTGTTTTTGCTCTTGAGCATTACTTTCGATCTAAAATAACAGCTATTAAATACCTTAAGCAGAGCTTGTTTTTGCTGGTTCTCGTACATTTTTTGTACTTCAGCCTTGACTTCTGTAAATTGGTCTGATATCTCTTGCTCGACTCTTTTACTCAGCTGGGTAAGTATCCCTTCTTGGAGCTTTTGTTTATGCTCTTGGTTAATCTTGTCTATGTCTTTATTTGAACCGGCCCATTTGGCCTACAAGGTACTTCATATCAATCCTGATGTCCTCAGTTTGTCTAAGAAACTCTTTCTTAGTTACAGTTGAGGTTAGTATGGGCTGTAGAAGACTCTTAAAATGCTCCATTTCTTGCCTCACTTTCTCAGACTCTGTTTCAATTTCACTCAGCAACTTCTTTTGGTTATTCAGATGGAAGCTAAGAGAATCTTTCTCATTTGAGAGAAAGTCTACCCTCAAGGTTACTTGATCAACGAGCTTCTTGACGTCACCTAGATGGATTGATCAATTTATAATGTTTACCATGAGTTTTTGCAATATCTTCATTGATAGAGCCTCTCATGAGAATCAATTTCTGAGTGAGATCTCTGTGATCTCGAGCTTTTGCATTTATAGCAGCCTCTAGTTCTTCAAAAAGCTGATGAAAATCTTTGATTTTCTCATTAATATCCTTGTTTTGCCCATATTGGTCCTCAAATCTCTCATTGTTAATACCATTTTGAGTGGTAAGAGTATCGTCTCTGAAATTTAATGAAAATATTACATAGTTTGAAATTTTTTCTGAGTGCCTGCGTTCATGTGTTCCAGGTATCGAATTCGATCAGAGAAACTCTCCATTTCTATTACCTTAGCATCATGCTTCTCAATTTTGATTTTGAGTAGCTCCACTTCGTTACAAAGATAAGTCTCTCTTTGTAGAAATGGTTCAACTAAGATTTTAACAGCGTCTCTCATCTAGATGGTCAGTAAATGTATTACCTTGTTTTCCAGCTCAAAGGCAGTAATCACTTTCTCCATTTCCTCTTTATGATTATCATGCCTATGAATTAGTCATTAATCAAGGTCTTTACTCTGCCATTGTAGGAGAATTTGGTTCGGACTCTTCTAAGGTTTGTTTCATCTTCAATATTTTTAAAATAATTAGGGGTTTTGGGGTTTTGGGGTTTTGGGG